AGGTGAGGAGGCCAGCTCCACCCGTTCCACTGGGATTGCTGGCCTTGCAGCTCCGGGAAGGTCCTTTGGTCTTCATGGGCACCATCTAACATGTTCTTCTCAGGGGCTGTCTTATTGGGGTCCTTGTTGCAGATGTTCATGTTACATATCATAAATGCTCAGTAAATGTTTGCTGACTTGAAAACATTTGCGCATTGTGGCAGCCATGCCAGAATGGCCCAGCCAGGGTCAGCCCCCATGTCTGGCTCTCTCCTCTCCCCAGGGTGGCTGCGCTTCAGACCCTCATGGCAGAGATGGTTCCCGAGACAAGGTGGCAATGTGCCCTGGAGTGGGAACCTATACCAGACAGAGGTTGGGCCAGCTGGTCTTCCAGCTCCAGCTAAGGTGGGTTGGTGATGTGCCCTGAAAATTGTGTGCCTAAAATATGTGAAATGTATTGCCAATTACATTTAAATAAAATTGTTCTAAAAAAGTAGTAGATGCTCAGCCCCCTCACCACATGATGACCTGTGTTGCCTTGGGTCTCTGAAGAGAGTCCCCACCAGCAGGAAGGCCCTCACCAGATGCAGCCCCTTGACCTTAGACTTCTTAGCCTCCATAACAGTAGGAAGTAAATTCATTTTCTTTATTAAGAAAAAAAGTAGAAAGTATGAATTTTGAGGTGAAAAAATTTGTATTTTAATCTTTTTTTACTTGGTAGTTTTGAGGTTCTAAGTCTCAGTTTCCTTGTAAGTAAAACTATATTAACTTCATTTGTAGTGAGACTAACAGCACAGTTTATATAAAAGATGGTACCTACAAGGCAGTGAGCATCACCACTAATGTTCTCCCCCTTCAGAATCAGATCTCTTAGACCATTAAAGTAGTGACAGTCCAGCATATGGAGATCATTCATTCATTCCGTAAAGAAATATTTATTGAGTACTTGATATGTGTCAGGCACTGTGGTAGGAGAAAAGATGTAAAGACATTGTCTTTGTTTTTAAGGTAGCTTACAGTATGGTATTTCAGTATACTTTATAAGTGCCATGGTAGCGATAAACAATATCATGGGAAGACTAGGAAAAGAAAACTTGGTCAAGTCAGTGGAGGTCTGAGTAGGTGCTAAGGATCACTTTCTGAGAAGATACTAAGTGATGATTGTGTTTGGTCCTTAAGGATTAGGAGGATTTAGTTAGGTGTGTAAACTGGGGAATAATGAAGGAGGCATTCTGGTGAAGGAGGAGAGTGGATGAAGGGTAGTTGTTGAGGGTTTAGTGAGAGATTAGGCCAGAGAAGGTGGCATTAGGGATAAATCATAAACTACCATGTGCGTTAAGATGTTTTGGCAAGCCATCAAAGGACTTTAAGCAAGTGATACAGTACGAGTTCAATTTTAGAATGCTTGCTATGGAAGGTGCATGGATGATGGGTGAAGATGAACTCTCAAGTTTCCTTGTTGACTGTGTGGATTGGTGATTGCCATTAAACTTGAGGGGAGAGGGAAAGATGCATTAGAATTTAATAGAGGGGAGAACCCTAGAGACAGAGAAAAAGATTATTAGAGACCAAAAATTGAGCACAGAATGAAGAAGTTTTACTGCCAAACAGGGACCCTGATCTAGCAGAGTCCAGGTAGCTTCTGGGGGAGAAGAAAAGGTGTGGGTTTTTATGATCCTGAAATGTCTCTGTTTGGAAAGCAAAGTTTGAGTGTTGTTGATAGGATGGTGATACAATATATAGATTTGTTGGCCAGAAAATCAGCAGTGGTCTGGCCAGTGTGGTCTGTATATGTGTCTTAAGTGAGTGTGCCTATCTTGAAATTGTGGTGTGTAGCTAGCTTCAATGCACAGGCTAACCTGAATACATATGTTTAAACTGTACCAGGAAGTAAATATGGTTAAACTCAGTCTTATTATGCTATGGAAAGATGATTACTTAGCATTTGATTATATCACTGAAGAATACTATAGTAGTCATTAAAAAAAAATTAGTCTGTCTTTTCCAGCCTCTGTGCAGAAGCTGTCTACATGAGTAGTCATCAGCTTGACTGGGGCTTCTGGGGCAAATTGTGTGTTTTTTAGTCATCTGCTTCTGGAGGCCTTTTAATTTGACCCAGTTTAAGATTTTTCAAGGGCAGAGAAATGCACTGATCTGGACTGAGAGCTTATTTTCACTGTGACATGTAATCTTGTGCATCAACACCTTGAAACTTGATTGTTGTAGCTGTTGACAGGAGACCTGAAGTGGTCCCTTTCAGTGAAGAAAGATAAATTTTGGGCATAAGACTGAGTAAATCAGATTAGTCGCTGAAACTATTTAGCTATATTTACACATAAGGGAACAGGATAAATTTTTATGGAGTTATCCCAGTGGCATTGAGCATATTATAATTTCATGAGAAGAAAGTCTGTGTGAGCTCTGAGGGGATTATTGTATGGCCATTAGTGCTACTGGTTAAACTTACACTAAGAAAAATGAGTTTTTTAAAACTTCAGGGATAAGATGAACAGTGGAGTTTCTGTGTTAAGAGAAGGATATTACAGAGTTTGTGTAACTCTTCCAAGTGAAATGAATTCCTTGATCATTTGACAGGAAAGTAGGCATTCCCCATTGGTGTTAGGCAGTGGGACTGCTTCTGTGTCTACATGTGCAGTGCTAACAGCATGTCTTGCCCTGGAAATGCCTATGTCATTTTTAAGTTAAGTCATTTCCACAACAATATTAAACCAGAGTTGACAAAAAGAGGATATCTGCAGGATCAGAGCTGGGCATAATTAATTTTGAACAGCCATGTAGTTCCCTATCATCTGAGAAAGAAATAATGTAAAATTTTGACCAAAGTTGAAGAGCGATACACAGAGTGAACAATAAAAGGATTTCATAAGAAGTAAGGTGGCTGACAGAAATATTGAAGGTTGCTTAGAAAGAAATAACAACAATTACATAGCATGTGGGATGCATCGAATGGAGAAGCAAGCACCATGTTGGCAACAGCACAGGCAAACAGGGAGGGTGTGGCTGGGCGCGGTGGCTCACACCTGTAATCCAAGCACTTTGGGAGGATGAGGCGGGCGGATCACGAGGTCAGGAGTTCCAGACCAGCCTGACCAACATGGTGGAACCCTGTCTCTACTACAAATATAAAAATTAGCCGGGCATGGTGGCACATGCTTGTAATCCCCACTACTCAGGAGGCTGAGACAGGAGAATAGCTTGAACCCAGGATGCGGAGGTTGTGGTGAGCTGAGATCGTGCCACTCAGCCTGGGAGACACAGTGAGCCTTCCATCTCAAAACAACAACAACAACAACAAAAACAAACAGGGAGTGTGTGTCTTAGCCAGGTAAGCAGCAGGCTTCCGGTGTGAGCAGTGCTGTTAGATTACTTAGGTAAGGAAGGGAGGATAGGGTGGTGTTTAAGAGGTGCTGGGAGTCTAAGGATCACAGTTCTATGATGGTCCTGAAAACCTGACAAAATTAATCGTCTTTTCTATTAAGTTTTTGAAGGGGCAGTACAGGTGTATTACCAAGGATGATAAATCTTTATTAACCCATTTATGAAAGAAGTTTATTTTGCTAATCACTTCAGATTTAAGTGGATACTGGAGCAACTGAGAGGCAGGGTTGTGTAAGGATTAATGTGATCTTAATAGTGTCAGCAGCATATATTCTGCCTGTCAGTAGAATCTTTAGCCCAAAGAGTACAGGTGTCTATTCTAACAATGAGTTAGGAAAGGCCAATATGTGCAAGAAAACAAAGGTGTTTAAGGCTGCAGTAATTTGATTTTGTGCATACTTTTCATTGGGAATCTCTAAGTATATGCCTTCTCTAGAGCTTTTAATTTGACAATGTTATTTAAAGAACAAGTCTTGGCCGGGCGTAATGACTCACGCCTGTAATCCAAGCACTTTGGAGGCCAAGGCAGGTGGATCACCTGAGGTTGGGAGTTCAAGACCAGTCTGACCAACATAGTGAAATCCTGTCTTTAAAAAAAAAAAAAAAAAAAGAACAAGCCTCAACTTGTTCTTTAGATAAGATAAATGAGATAAGAGTCACACTGTAGGAAAGTGTCTTCCTTTTCTGATGCACTGATTGAAATTGGTCAAAGTTATGAGACTGGGAAGATAATAGGAGTATTAGTGATAACCCCTGCTGTTATTCTGTTAGTACCCTGAGGAAGAGTTGGAAGGAATTTAAAGTAGAGACAGAAGGTCCTGTATCTATTAAGAATTTGTGGGCATATCCTTCAACAGAAAATCATTTTTGTCTAATAAGAACAGAAAATATAATAGGGTGCCATTGGGACGCCAAGCACTGTGTTATCACTGTATCTCCAACCTGGCTTGTTGGACTCCATTCTCAGTTTTTTTTTTGTTTTTTCCCTGAGATGGAGTCTCGCTCTGTTGCCTAGGCTGGAGTGCAGTGGCATGATCTTGGCTCTGCAACCTTTGCCTCCCAGATTCAAGTGATTCTCCTGCCTCAGCCTCCCGAGTAGCTGGGACTATAGCCGCGTGCCACCATGCCCAGCTAATTTTTGTATTTTTAATAGAGACGGGGTTTCACCACGTTGGCCAGGCTGGTCTCGAACTCCTGACCTTGTGATCCCCCTGTCTTAGCCTCCCAAAGTACTGAGATTACAGGCATGAGAATTGTTAGACTTTGAATGAGTTGTTTAATTTGAAGAGACATGTTAAAAAAATTTGTTTAGAGTTCTTGGACAATATTCTGTTGTAATTCATGTAAATAATCTATTTGCCAATCCACTGACGTTCTTCTCACTAATCTATTTCCGGTTTTAATCCATTAAAGAAGGCTGAAAAGGCCCGTTAGTGGTCTGCCTCTAGGTCTGTAAAAATATCATCTAAAAGTTTCTAAAGTCTTCTGATTATAAATGATTTTGCTTGCAATTTAGGATTTTGGTCTAATCTACTTTGGTAAGAAAGACTTTGGGGATGGTGTGAGCGGATACTTTTCCTTGTTTTATTTTAGAGACAGGGTCTCTCTTGTCCAGGCTGGAGTGTAGTGGTGTGATCATAGCTCACTGCAGCTTCAAACTCGTGGGCTCAGGCTATCCTTTTGCCTTAGCCTTCCAGATAGCTGGGACTACAGACATGTGCCACCACACCTGGCTAATTACAGAACATTTTTTTAAAAAATAGAGACAGAGTCTCACTATGTTGTTTAAGTTGGTCTCAAATTCTTGGGCTGAAGGGATCCTCTCACCCTGATCTCCCTAAACTTCCTTCTGATTAGTGATACCTGATCTGCATTAGGGTTCCAGCCTGTTTTTGGAACCATTTTTGACCTTCTTAGGGAAACTAGTAGTCTGTAAGTTTGTGAGGTTATGGTGGGCATGGGAGTATTAGATATGTAAAAGTTTTCTAAACTCCTCAGAAAACTTTTAGTCTTCAGTGGACTTGGGGATTTTGCCTGAGGCCAGAGTTTTGAAAACAGCAGCCTGGCTTTCTTTTGAAGGGTGGAGGTAAGTCCTTAATGGAAATTATGGGGTTGTCTATTCCATACTACGTGGGTGCTCAGCAACAGGGGAGATAGGACTGTGATATCTAAGGCAGGAGGATATGAGGGAGCCCTGTGATGATAAATTGTGAGAGTAGTGTGAGGTCTTCATCTGAAGAGTCAGAACATTGGGATTTTAGCAGATAAAGGCTGAGCTTTCAAGGCAGGAGGTCATGGAGAAAGAGCTGCCTTTTCTTACCTCTTGCCAGGGAATTATTCAAGGAAGTTAATTTTGAGTTACTGAGCCATTAGTTGTGTTAGTGTGAGAGTTTAAGAATGTAGATGATTGCTTTGGGGTTTTATCTCCTTTGGTTCTAAGGAATTGTGGGGGTATAAGCCCTTGTTGAAATTCCGTTTCCCAAAGTGGTCACTGTAATTACAAAGTATTCTTGGTAAAATTTTGTCATAGTATTTATCAGACATGTATATGAATTTGGACTATAATGAATAACATATAAGATTCAGGAGTCCTGACAGGATTTGACTCTTTTACTTAACAGACCCCACCATAACAAATACCAAAAAGGAGAACTCTTTCACTATTTAATAGAAAATGTATACATAGAATACCTAGTCAGTTGAGACAGACCCGGTAGTTTAGGATCTCCAGCCCTTGAATCTGGTCCAAACTAGACTTTTCTGAATAATCTCTTAGGACATAGATGGACTAACAATGGAACATACAGACGGGCGCAGTGGCTCACGCCTGTAATCTCAGCACTTTGGGAGGCTGAGGCAGTCGAATCACAAGGTCAAGAGATGAAGACCATCATGGCCAACATGGTGAAACCCCATCTGTACTAAAAATACAAAAATTAGCCGGGCGTGGTGGCGGACGCCTGTAGTCCCAGCTACCCAGAAGCCTGAGGCAGGAGAATCGCTTGAACCTGAGAGGCGGACGGAGGTTGCAGTGAGATGACATTGTGCCACTGCGCTCCAGCCTGGCGACAGAGCGAGACTCTGTTTCAAAAAACAAAAAAACAAAAAAGTGTAAAACAAAATAAAAAATGTGTAACAATGGAACATAGACCCACTCTTTTTGTGTCACTCAAGGAAGGGACCAAATTTCCTCTCCATTTCTACCCACAAGAAACCAGATGCCTTTAAACAAACTTGTGAGACAGAACAGAACAAACTCATAGATGAAGTGAGCGGAACCACCATCAAAAGGTGATGGAAACTTGCCAAAACCAAGGCTCACTAGGTTCTCAGGTGCTGGTGGCCTGTTGGCCTCACTGGATGGCTCAGTCATGAGATCTGTGTGGGACCTCCAAACTGTTAAAGACTGTTGGAGACCAAAGATCGTGAAAAAACTTTCTTGCCAAGCAGGGAACCTAATCCAGCACAAAGTCTAAGCAGGCTGTCAGAGATGGAGACCCTTTAAAGCCAAAAGATCATGAACTGTCCTTTTCTATATTAGAAAAGCCAAATCTTTGAGTGTTCTTGATTGGTTGCTGATATCTGGGTTTGTTGGTTGGTAAGCATGGAACTGGCTGGAGATGGTCTGTAGCATATGTGTGGTATGAAATTATGATGTCTAGCTGCCTCTATTTTGTATGTGATATACCTCAGTTAGAATTACGTCACCTGCTGACATCTGCATTGGCCACAGCAGACTAGGTGGCCAGATTAGGATTTATCAGAGTTTAGTAGTCATTTGGATATGAGGAAGTGGATGTTAGGGGAGAGGTCTGCATGTGGTTCTGGAGCTCTTGAAAAGTGGTCTAGTAGAGAAAACTGTCAGCTTGACTGGGTTTTAATCTATTTCTCAACTCATCTAAAGGTGTTCTGATTATCTAACAGTGTTTAGCAAAGTGTCTCAAAACGTAATGGCTTGAGGACCAATGCAGTGGCTCACGCCTATAATTCTAGCATTTTGGGAGGTTTAGGTGGGTGGATCACTTGAGGTCAGGAGTTCAAGACCAGCCTGGCCAACATGACGAAACTCCGTTTCTACTAAAAATACAAAAATTAGCCAAGCATGGCAGTGGGTGCCTATAATCCCAGCTACTCAGGAGGCTGAGGCAGGAGAATCGCTTGAACCCTGGAGGTGGAGGTTGTAGTGAGCCGAGATTGCATCATTGCACTCTACCCTGGGCAGCAGGAGCAAGACTCTGTCTCAAAGAAAAAAAAAGCAAAAAAAAACCATAATGGCTTGAAACAGCATTTGGTTTGTGAATCTGTAATTTGTGTAGGGTTTGGCAGGATCAGCTTGTCTTCACTCAGTATCAGCTGGGGTGGCTCAAAGACTGGAGCCTGTCATATCTGTACATTGGCTTTAATCTAGAGGGTTTTTTTTTTTGTTTGTTTGTTTTTTTTGAGACGGAGTTTTGCTCTTGTTACCCAGGCTGGAGTGCAATGGCGCGATCTCGGCTCACCGCAACCTCTGCCTCCTGGGTTCAGGCAATTCTCCTGCCTCAGCCTCCTGAGTAGCTGGGATTACAGGCACACGCCACCATGCCCAGCTAATTTTTTGTATTTTTAGTAGAGATGGGGTTTCACCATGTTGACCAGGATGGTCTCGATCTCTTGACCTCGTGATCCACCCGCCTCGGCCTCCCAAAGTGCTGGGATTACAGGCTTGAGCCACCGCGCCCGGCCTAATCTAGAGGTTTTTGTTTGTTTTCTTTGGGGGGGATACATGCATGTCCTTCGTGTGGTAGTTTAATGTTACTCCTAAATGTTTTTCTTTTTCCGTTAAATCTAGATATAGATTTTGTCTATAGCTAAAGTGAGATTTTTCTTTTGATGAAGTCTTGCTCTGTCAACTAGGCTGGAGTGCAGTGACACAATCTCGGCTCACTGCAACCTCTGCCTCTCAGGTTCAAGTGATTCCCTTGCCTCAGCCTCCTGAGTATCTGGGACTATAGGTGCCCATCCCCATGCTTGGCTAATATTTGTAGTTTTAGTAGAGATTGGGTTTTGCTATGTTGGCCAGGCCGGTCTTGTGATCCTCCTGCCTCGGCCTCCCAAAGTGCTGGGATTACAGGCGTGAGCCACTGTGCCTGGTCCGGGTAGGTTTTTAAAACAGAATCTTCCTGCTTTATGTTAATTAGTAACTTGAATGAAATAGCCTGTGCTTCTTTAAAAATTCAAGATGAATGTGTGAAATAACTTTTAAGTAAAAGTTCCAAAGTAGCCAGACGCTGTGACTTACACCTGTAATCCTAGTACTTTGGGAGGCTGAGTCAGGCGGATCCCCTGAGGTCAGTAATTTGAGACCAGCCTGGCCAACAGGGCGAAACCCTCTCTCTACTAAAAATACAAAAAAATGAGCTGGGTGTGGTAGCACTTGCCTGTAATCCCAGCTACTCAGGAGGCTGAGGCAAGAGAATCGTTTGAACGCAGGAGGCAGAGGTTGCAGTGAGCCAAGATTGTGCCACTACATTCCAGCATGGGCAACAAAGCAAGACTCCTTCTCAAAAAAATAAAAATAAAAATTCCAAAGTATATTTGGAAAACGTGGCTATATACGACCCTATGTGTACATGGATGGCCCTTCATGGATATGTATAATTCTGTGTTTTTTTGGGATTTTTTTTGAGATAGCATCTGACTCTGTCACCCAGGCTGGAGTGCAGTGGAGTGATCTCAGCTCACCATAACCTCCACCTCCCCAGATTCAAGTGATTTTCGTGCCTCAGCCACCCGAGTAGCTGGGATTACAGGTGCACACCACCTGTATCCCACTATAATCCCACTGGGTGCTGGGATTACAGACTTGAATCATCGGGCCCAGCCCCTATGTTGTTCTTTAATGAGGTTCTTAATCTAGAATCATTTGGAAGGGTATGTGGATGAGCTTTTGAGTTTCTCTAAATCCTTTAAAGTATGTGTGTTGTATAAGTACATAGTTTTCCTTAGATTTTCAAAGGGGCCTTTTACCATCACCATCTCATCGCCCTTAAAGTAAAGAACCATTACTAGTCTGGTGCTGAGACCAGCAGCATCGGCATCACTAGGAATTAAGTCGTGGGGCCCCACTCTAGACCTACTGAATTAGGAACTCTGGAGTGAGGGCTCAGCAGTGTGTTTTAACAGGCCCTCTAGGAATAGATGGGATACATGCTAAAGTTTGAGAACTAGGACAACAATGACTTTATGGTAATAGAATAGATATACTCCAGCCAATACCAGGTCTACGTATGTAGGCCCATAATCTACACTAATGTTAATTTGGTGATGTCACACAACAGAAATCTCTGTTGAATGCAAAATTGTATATTAGAAGCACATTCATGTGTTCTTACGTGGATAGCAATGTTTTGAACACATATCATTTTTGTTAACATTTAAGATTAGGACTAACATTTGAAAACATTTTAACTTGTAAAATGATAATGATTTGGATATTTAAGGTATTTGCATTTTTGCTTAAGTGTACTTTTTGGCTTATGACAGTACTTTGGTAACAGGAAAGCCACCAATTCAGACTAACTTAAGCAAAAAGAGAAATTATTGGGAGGATATAGTTTGGTTCCCAAAGTGGGGGAAGGTGTGTGGCCCGGCTTTGGACAGGCAATATCCAGAAACTGGAAAGTCTGAGGAACTGAGATTGTTATTACCAGTGGTCCCCTAGGGTAAGGAGAACCATCCTCTTTCTAAATGCTTGTGCTTCCTTCTCTGTAGAGGCTCTGGCTCTCAATGCTAATTTCCTAAGAAGAGAATCTGACTGCTCATACTGGATGTAGTAGCTGCTTATTATCCAATTAGCAGTGGCTGGTGGGTCAGGGTCACATACTACAAATGTGGCCACAGATCACTTCTCCTTTATGGCTCATACTCTATAAATGATATTTTATAGAGGCAATATTATTTTCTTTCTCCCTTTCCCTTTCCCTTTCCGTCTTGCTCTGTTGCCCAAGCTGGAGTGCAGTGGCACAAATGCACAGCTCACTGCAGCCTCCACCTCCTGTGTTCAAACGATCCTCCTGCCAGCCTCCTGAGTAGCTGGGACTACAGGCGTTTGCCCCCATGCCTTGCAATTTTTAAAACTTTTTTGTAGGTCTCACCATGTTGCCTAGGCTGGTGTTGAACCACTGCCTTGAGCAGTCCTCCAGCCTCAGCCTCCTAAGTAGCTGGGACTACAGGCATATGCCCCCACACTTTGCTAATTTTTAAATTTTTTTTGTAGAGGTCAGGCTTGGTGATATGCGCCTGTAATCCCAGCTACTCAGGAGGATGAGGCAGGAGAATTGCTGGAACCTGGGAGGTGGAGGCTGCAGAGAGCTGAGATTGCACCACTGGACTCCAGTTTAGATGACAGAGTAAGACTCTGTCTCAAAAATAATTTTTTTTTTTTTTTTTTTTTTTTATAAAGATGAGGTCTCACCATGTTGCCCAAGCTGGTCTTGAACTCTTGGGCTCAACCAGTCCTCCCGCCTCAGCCTCCCAAAGTGCTGGGATTACAGACATTGGCTACTGTGCCAATGTCTGTAATAAATTATAAATTATTCTAAGGCAGAATAATTTATAGCATTTTGATATCTTATTAGGTTGAAGTAGGAATCTATTGTAGGATTATCAGACTTGCTTTTTAGTCAGTAGTGAGTCATTTGTTGTAATTTTCTTTTTGCATGCAGTAACTTTCTCTGAAAAACAAGCCACCACAAATTAGTGAATATTGTAATTATAGCACAGATATAAAGTTGTTTAGTAGAACCACCCCATTATAATTTTAGCTTATTTTGCATATAAATGGATGAGCTATGGAGGGAACCATGTTTTCACATTATCAAATATGTATAGACTT